TGTACTGCAAACACATACCAGCTTCATCACTGTGTCTGTCACGAGACTCTGTTCCCCTTTCAGGCTGTCTTTACATTTATTTTGAAAGATGAAGCTCGTGATTATGGTAAGGGGCGTTAAATTTCCAACGAGTGCTTGCGGTGTTCGGCCAATCACAATGCACTGGGTCAGCTGACCAATCAGAGCAGACTGCACTTGTCGGAAGGAGGGACTTTGTAGAAAACGAAGCGTTTGAGAGAGGCGGGGCATAGAGGACCTACAATAATGTACAGTATTTGAAAAATCATGTGTTTTTTGAACATTAAAGCATGCCAACATATTCTGTTACACCAAATACACAAAATAATGATCTTTAAAAAAAGCATCATATGACCCCTTTAATGTTTGTTAAACATTGTTAAACATTTGTTTGTGTGTGTGTGACTTTATTTTATTTAACTTGATGTTTTATTTCAAGTAACGGTATTTTTACGGTTTGTTTTTAGTCTTCTTTCTCTGTATAGACTTCCATAGTAAGTGCTTTACTATAAATGCAATTGTAGCTTTTACAAACTGAGTCTGAATAATTTCATGTGATCACCAGCACAGGTAAAACCAGATTATGTTATAATCTAGTTTTGAACCTGCAATATTGCTTTAGTGGAAACTGATCTTAGTGGTCAGTATTAAGGAGCCTCATGTGATGTAGTAATGTTAATAGGGGATTGAGTAGAGATTGATGTGAGCATTGAGTGTACTTCAGAGGTTTAAGGATGTATGATGGTATTTGTTCAGGTGGACTGCACTACTAATACAGAGACCTGCAAACGCTATGGGGTCACTGGATACCCAACGCTCAAAATATTTCGGAACGGACAGGAATCTTCTTCATATGATGGGCCACGCTCAGCTGGTATGTTTAATGATGTGTGGCATAAATGCAATAGCAGATCTGCTGGTGATGCCATTGTGGGTGTATCATTTCCAAACAGAGGGAATTGTGAACCACATGAAGAAACTGGCCGGGCCCGATTCTGTGCCTCTGCATAGTGAGCATGACCTGGAGAACTTTATCAACAACTTTGATGCCAGCATAGTTGGTAAGTGCTTTTTATTGCCTCTAAAATGTGTTTATGATTTCTTCTCTAGATTGAAAACATCTAATGCAAATGTAATTTCGAGATTTTGAATGATATAAATTTGAATGCATGAATGCAGTAAATTTGGATGGATAGATGGAAAATACGTATTTTATTAGTAATGTCTTGCATTATATTTCTTTCATCTGTCCTTCTCTCAGGATTTTTCTCAGGGACTGACAGTTCTCAAGTCTCTGAGTTTCTTAAAGGAGCCAGTTTAATGAGGGAGAGTTTCCGCTTTGCTCACACCACAGTCCTAGAGCTCGGAAAGAAATATGACGTCAAATATGAGTAAGTGGGTCTTAGTTAGGATAGCAAAATAAATAGGCTTATCCATATTAAACGTGAAAACACTTCACATATCTTTTGCTGTTGATGTCAGATTCATCTCTGTCATTTGGGAGAAGCTCACTAAATTAGACATTAAGTTAAAGGCACAATATGTAAGATTTTTTTATTAAAATATCCAAAAGCCACTAGAACGGTGTTATATATTTTGCTGACTTGTGTACTTACATTATCCCAAATGTTTCGAAGAATATTTAAATCCAGAGAAAAAAGCAATTTTAACTAGTGACACGGACCGTGTCCATAGTGTCATTGTGTCGCCTGCCAATGACGTCATAACCCCTCGATTTCTGGTTTCTCGGTTTTGTTTTGTAGAAAACATGGAAACACCAAAGACGCTTTAATATGTTGTGCGTTTTAATAGACAGGTGACGACCGCACAGAGTAGCATTATAACAGAACTTTCAAATGTATCTAGTATGATAAAACAGCGTTGCTTTTTTTTCCCCACAAACGACTGGAAGAAGCGGAAGCGGTCGACTGTGGCATAATAAAAGCTCCGCTGCTTTCGAGCCGTGTGTCGTGCTCGTTCAGCGGCCTCATTTCGCTTCGACGGCTTTCAGCCTCACCCTGCTTCATTCTACTACGTTAATAAATCATTAGCTCATCCATGAACATGATTTCTGCCCGAGTCCCGTCGGATTGCATCGGCTGTGGGGATGAAGACCACAACTCCCATGATTCCACACTCAGTCACTGCCTCATCAAACTACTCCTTTGCCTCTGTTTATTTTGAATAATGGATGTCTGATTTGTCTTGTGGTTGGTTGGATAAGTTACAAAAATCTCAGAATAAATTGATAAGGTTAGTTTCAGGGTTTAGTCGTTTTACACATGTGGAGGTTTCCCACTTTAAGTGTCTTGATTGGTTACCGATAGTAAGCAGAGTGTGTTATCCTTGACGAATAGAGTGTATTCACTACTTTTTTTGTCAAATAAACAAACAAACAAACAATACGCGCCCTCTCGTGGCGAAAATTACATATTGTGCCCTAAATTAAGCCAACATGGTTGCACAATAATAATAATAGGCTCTGTTTTTAACATTGATAATAATAAGAAATGTTTTTTGAACAGCAAATCAGCATATTAGACTGATTTCTGAAGGATCATGTGACACTGAAGACTGGAGTAATGATGCTGAAAATTCAGCTTTGCATCACAGGAATAACTTATATTTTAATGTATTTAAATTAGTGCTGTCAAACGATTAATCTATTTAAATTAGTGCTGTCAAACGATTAATTGCATCCAAAATAAAAGTTTTGTTCACATAATGTATGTGTGTACACTATGTATATTTATTATGTATATATAAATACACACACATGCATGTATATATTTACGAACAATATGTTATGTTTATATATTAAATATATTTTTATTTAATATAAATTATATGAATATAAATATATACATGTAAATGCATGTAAATATTTTCAAAATGTATACTGTATGTGTGTGTATTTATATATAGATAATAAATATACACAGCGCACACACATATTATGTAAACAAAAGCTTTTATTTTGGATGAGATTAATCGTTTGACTGCACTAATTTAAATAGAAAACAGTTACTTTAAATTGTAATAATATTTCACAATATCACATAAATGCAGCCTTAATGAGACATCTTTCAAAAACATAAAAAAATTATCAACCAACATGTGCATTTAGAAGATATTTAGAAATTATATTGTCTCCTTATCCAAATGAATCATTCATTTGCATATTGCTGGATTTGTTCATTTATGTTAATGTTGATATTTGATGTTAAGGACATTTTATGTTCACTTTGGTACCATAAACAATTTTGGTACTTCGTTTGGTGGCCACTCAGTGTCTAGATTAAAGTCTAAATCCTAAAGCAAAACCCGTTGAGAACCACTAATATTGACTGTAGCTGGGTGTTCAGGATGAAATACTAATATTAAAATCTGTAAACCCTTTGCCTGCAGGTCTGTGCTTCTGTTCCACCCTCCCAGACTGAGCAGTAAGTTTGAGGAGCGTGTGGTTCACCACAGAGGACCCCTGTCCATCACAGGCCTGCGCCGCTTCATCAGAGACAACATGTGAGCCCACACTGACACAACACATACAAACACACACACAGCACATGCTGAGATCATTGCTTTTGCTCTGTAGTTTTGGACTCTGTCCTCACCTGACCAAAGAGAATAAGGATTCATTGAGGAAGAGGGATTTATTGACGACCTACTATGACTTGGATTATCTTCGCAATCCCAAAGGCTCCAACTACTGGAGAAACAGGTGAGTCATTTAAAATCAGTGATTAAATATGTTTATTATGAAGTCATAAAGTACATACCTGTCTTTCTTGGTTTAGAGTGCTGAAGGTGGCGTCTAAGTTCAGTTCTCAGGGCCTGTTGTATTCTGTGGCGAACCGAAATGACTTTCTGGAGGAGCTGGAGGATGAGTTCGGTCTGGGCTCATCGGACGCAACTGAGCTGCCATTTGTCACCATCAGGACACGAACAGGAAACAAATACACCATGAGAGAGGAGTTCACGTGAGTACAAACACTTCATACTGTGAGGATCCTGTTTTCAGAGTGTTAAAGGGGTCATATGATACGATTAAAATTTTTTCTTTCTCTTTGGAGTGTTACAAGCTCTTGGTGCATAAAGAAGATCTGTAAAGTTGCAAAGACAAAAGTCTCAAATCCAAAGAGATATTCTTTATAAAAGTTAAGAGTCAACCACGCCCTCCTAAAACGGCTCGTTCTAACACGCCCCCACATATCTACGTCACTGTGTGGGAAGATTTGCATAACGCCGCCCAAATGTTCACGCAAAGAAAGAAGGCTTAACTTTTATTCTTGCTGTAGTATTGTTGCTGGCGCCGCCGCCATGTCGTGAAGACACTGTGTTTCGTTGTGAAAGCAAAACTACTTTGTTTGGTCTTCCAAAAGAGGACACGACTAGAAATCAGTGGTTAAGTTGTATTTACAACACTGTTCCAGAACAGTTGAACCCAAATATTCAGATGTGTGCAACGCATTTTACGGAGGACGAGGGCTGTTTCCTGTGAGAGTAGCCTACAATGCCGTTGTCTGTTTCTATTAAGTGGGGCAGTTCCAACTTTGCAAGGACAGTCTGGCGCTTCTGACTCACAGACTGCAAGTATGTTTTCATATTTAAAGGATTTGCCACTGATGATTCAAACGCGAGTTTTGGGCAGTGTGGAGTAGCACTTGTTGTTTGTCATTTCTCCGACCACAAATGCAGACATGGTTTTATGTTTACGTGGCGCGATGCAACGCAACGCGTAAAAAGACAGTATAAGTCATTATAATCAGTAATTATGTCCCCACTGGATGCAACAAATGCCTCGTTTATAATGGGTTTTAATGTTTTTGTCTCGTCGCTCTGGCCGGACATCATCACAGTATGGTGAGGGGTGTAACATTTCCGTCAAATGCATGAGGTATTCGGCCAATCACAATGCACTAGATAGCTGGCCAATCAGAGCACAGAGTGCTTTTTCAGACCGATGAGCTTTGTAAAAATCGACGCGTTTCAGAAAGGCGGGGCATAGAGGAGAAACAATAATGTACATTATATGGAAAATAATGTTTTTTTAACCTTAAACCGCATAAACACATTTCATTACACCAAATATACAAAATAATGTTATTTTTAGCAACATCATATGACCCCTTTAAGGAAGAGATTAAACATGATTTGATATTTAAATGAATTATATTAGTTGACTAATTATGACCCCAAACGTTTGAACAGTGTTTCAACATACATTAATAAGACTGGTATCATAAAATAGTTTGAAGACAATAATATTCTTAATTTAGCTATGTCCCATGATGTACATCAACACATTAGAAGCTGTAATGATGTGATTTTAACTGTTAATTTGGTCCCTCCTCAGACGAGATGGCAAGTCTTTAGAGAATTTTCTGGAAGACTATTTTGCTGGGCGACTGAAGCGTTACATCAAATCAGAGCCTGTGCCAGCTAAAAACAATGGAGCCGTCAAGGTTAGTGAGACACGTGTGTTTAAATGAGCGCGATTGTTTCATTTGGTCTTCGTTAACACAAGTCGCTGTCTGTGGTCAGGTGGTTGTGGCAGATACGTTTGAAGAGATCGCCAATGACCCAGAGAAAGATGTGCTTATTGAGTTTTATGCTCCGTGGTGTGGCCACTGTAAAAAACTGGAGCCCAAATATACAGAGCTTGGAGAACGGGTGAGTTTTACATGACATCAGTGTGTCTTCATCTCTGTCTGAATCACTTCTCACCCTGTATTTCTGTGTTTATGCTCTCAGCTATACAGTGACCCCAATCTTGTAATCGCCAAGATGGATGCAACTGCCAATGATATCCCGCAGGGCTATGACGTGCAAGGGTATGTATTCTCTCTCATAAAATGCTTTGTAGTGATTTTAGCTAGCCATTGATAATGTTTTGTTATTCTTTTGCAGGTTTCCTACAATATACTTTGCCGCTGCTGGCCGGAAAGATGAGCCAAAACGATATGAGGTAATTGTTTATTTTTATTGTTTCTCATCACTTATATCAACTACTATGTCCATACTGTATATTTGTCATTGTAAATATTAATTCTTTGTATTTTGGATGTTTTCTTTCAGGGAGCCCGTGAAGTGAAGGATTTCATCAACTTCCTGAAGCGTGAGGCCTCCAAACCTCTTGTTCTGAATGGAGTCAAGGAAGAGCTGTAAACGTTAAAAGGGAAATTGCTGTATGTTGCGGAACGTTATTCAGGAAGAGTGAAGAATCCTGTAGGATTCTGCTGCAGTTCAGCCATACATATCATATCAATAACATAAACCCAATTTTAATTATACAGAGATCCAGGGCCTCATTTATAAAATGTTGTGCTGAAACCATCCTAAATTTGATTGTACATATGCGTGCATGTGATTTATAGAATGAACGTACGCACAGAAAATGCACATGTGCCTCTCTTTTAGATGTGAAATCTATGAATCGCAAGTGATCATGAACTGAATGGTTTCAGCCCTCTGCCTTCTAAACGACTCCTAATTAATATCATTAACATGTGAAAGAGTCATCATGCAAATCCTTTCATTTAGAACAGCTTACATTTTCAAAAAGCTGCAGTACTCGAACAAGAAAAAGTGCGTGCGTCTGCTCAGACCCTGACGTGACGCTAAGCACTTTTCCACGTCAAAGCCAGTTTTCATCGGTGTGGATTTAAGCATAAGCACACTCTAAGATCAAATCTGTGCGTACTCACTTTATAAATGAGGCCCCCAATATTTATATTGTCAACATGATAGAAAATAGTGCAGATTGCTGCTTATGTTGAGGAGTCCTGTTTTGTTGTTTAATCATTTTGTTCTTTGTTGCATGAGCTTCATTAATCTGTTCTTTACCATTTATACTCAATATTTCCATCTGTACATTAGTTATCATTGTTGTTCAACATACATTTACAAAAATATCAATATTCATGCCCTGTATGGATGGTAAAACTAATCTGATTTCATGCAGTAGATGCACAGTAATTGGTTTCAAGGAGTTTGTGGTGTAGCAGTATAAGGAGCCATTATCAATGTTTGCAATTGTCATTTCTTGCCACTGATTTGCTACTGAAGTGATTAACTGCAAAGGCATCTTTTAACCCAGTCTGTTAGATATGGGTTGAACAATTGGTTATGTAATGTTTATTTATTGACTATTCATACAGTTTGGGTGTGAAATGGATGCTGTTTATATGGTGAATGTTGTCCTGTCACTAGCATTTTTTCTACGTATCTATGCCTTAAGGTTTAGTATGTAGGTAGTTTTTTTGACATCTAACTGAAGCTCTGTTCAGCAAGAGGTACTCCCTGATGAGCAGAAAATGCTGGTTTATTAAAATAATTGATTTGTCAACGGTTTATTTCATGTTCAAATGTTTGAAAACCGAATGTGTTAAGCTACATAATATTTTCAATTTAATGAAAGTGGGCAAGCGCCAAAATGAACCATAAAAGTTGCCTATGAGACTTAATATTAAGCATACTAATACCACAGGATATGGAAAACAGCCATGATACTGTTTGAAAACAAAAGTGGTAAGTAAATGACATAAGTATTATATTACAGACATTTTGAGTTTATCTCAGAGACATGTAGGACTCTCGCACAACTTAGGAAAAGACATTTATTGTGAATTCTGAACCCTGGTTCCTCAACCGCTCTAAAGGGGGAAAAAAAAAAAACATTCAACAGGATCAACAAAAAAATTAAATGAAACATCCAATGCATTCCAGCTGATTTACAGATTCTACTCTTTAAAGTATTTCTTCTGGTAGAGAGGCGTAAACCAGAGAAGAAAAACCTGGGCCCATACCAAACATAAACAACTTCCTAATTGTGGTTCTGTGGTAAATCTAGTAAAATCTTTCGGAAGTAATCTTGACACCGGAGGAACTTCGCAGGTTGGCGTCATTCTGACGAGGAGTGCAGGACTGATGATTCAAACAAAACACTTGTCTAATTAAGACGGAGACAGTTTCCTGATTGCATTTGGGTCTTCCCGTTTCTGGTCTTTTCTAATACATGCACTGAAAGCTTGCAGTCTGTCAACAAAGAACAGTCACAGACGATCCCAGCTATATTACTCAGAGCTTAAAACAAATCCAAAATATACTGCCTTTTTCCATGCAACAGCCGTTTTAAAGTAAACCAAATATCTGGTTGCACGGAGATATTTGGCTTACTATTATATTCAACCATACATCACATCATGAACTAATAAGACAAGTCAATTCATGACACTCTTGTATGTGAACGTTACTTAACCGTAGGAAACTAAAACGAACAGGACCAGAGAGTGAGCAGAGCCATCCTACACGTATCTATCTTTAATTATAACTTTATTTTCTATGTGGAGGTTAAGAACTGAAATTGTTTTCAGAAGGAACACCCCGTTTTCTGTACAGTGTTTCAGAGGTAAGGTTTTTGTTTCTCCCCAGAGTGTGTTATAGTCTCACCCTCTCCATATTTAAACCTTAGTCTTGGTCAAATCTAAAATTGCTGGAGAAGAGTGAGGCCATGCCGACGGACACACAACCCACCCCACCCCATCCCATCCCATCCCGCCCTGCTCAGGTTCTTAGCGGATCGCTTTGACGGGACTCTTGAAGCTGGAGGCTGCCTGCAGCTGTAGCTGGTAAGCCATTGGGTGAATCTTGAAACCATAGAGCCTGGAAGAGGAGAATGACAGCTCTGAGAAACTGAGCGATTTTAGAGATGTGAGAAAATCCATTTATATAGAGCAGCAGGTGACCGCCATATAAAGGAAAGACAAACCTGGGCACAAACTGGTTGGCAGGCCTCTTTGGCCGGTACTCGGGATGCACCATGAAGAGCATGTGGGGGAAACCAGTGCCAAAATAGGCTCCATCGGTGTGATGGTGCCTGGACGACTTGGGTGTGTACACATCCATACACTTAGGGCAGTAGAGCTTCACCATAGCCTCGCCAGGAATGTCAGAGAGCCCTGGAGACAAAAACAGACACTAGACTCACTCACTGAAACTCATGTGAATTGTACCTCAACTTGTAAGCCTCATTTTTATTAAAGGAATAGTTCACCCAAAATGTGTGTCATCTACTCGCCTTCATGTTGTTTCACCCCGTATGAGGTTTCTTGCTTCTACTGAGTAACTAAACAGTTGCTGATCCCCACTGACTTCCATAGTATGGAGAGGAAAAAAATACCATGGAAGTAAATGGGGACCAGCACCTGTTAGGTAACCCACATTCTTTAAAATGTCGTCTTTTGTGTTCAACAGAAGAAAGAAATTCATTCAAGTTTGGAAAGACTTGAGGGCGAGTAGGATTTTAATTTTCATAATTCATTTAAAGGGTTAGTTCACCCAAAAATGAAAATCAGCCTGTTTTATACTCTCCCTCGAGGCATCCTAGGTGTATATGACTTTCTTCTTTCAGACGAATTCAGTCGGAGTTATATTAAAAATTGTCCTGGCTCTAAGCGTTATTGCAGTGGGTGGGTGTTTCTGCTCAACAGTCCAAAACACGTCAAATAAAGCACGCACATCCATAATAAAACGTGTCTCACACGGCTCCATGGGGTGAATAAAGGCCTCCTGTAGCGAATCCATGCGTTTTTTTAAGAAAAACATTAATATTTAAAATGTTATAAACTGCTTTCTCTAGCTTATGCTAACTGTCGTGCGTGCAAGGCGGATGACGTGGGACATAGCCTAGGTGTCGCGCACGCGCCTCTGAGATATGCTAGTCTCACGAGTTTGTTTACAGGAGCAAAGGAAGCAAAGTTTCCTTACTTTAGCAAAGGAAAATCAGTCTCCTCTTGGCTTTTTTCTAAATCCTCCGACATTTTTCTTTACAAATCCTTGGTTTGTACTTCTAATTCGTTTTGTTTTGTTCTCTCTCTATGTTCATCACTAATCAAGCAACACCAGCATCCTACGTCATCCGCCGGAACGGCTAGCTGTCATCCGACAGTTAGATGAGGGACGTTTTATGGATGCGCGTGCTTTATTTGACGTGTTTTGGACTGTTGAGCAGAAACACCCACTGCAATGATAGAGCTTGGAATAGCCAGGACAATTTTAATATAACTCCGAATGGATTCGTCTGAAAGAAGAAAGTCTTACACACCTAGGATGCCTCGAGGGTGAGATATACACAGGCTAATTTTCATTTTTGCTTGAACTAACCCTTTAAGGTGTGCATCTTTTTTTACACAGTGCACTTTCTTATCCCGATTATGCACTGAGTGAAGCTGATAACACACATGATCATGTAAACGTGTTAATCCGCTTTCCTTTATTGGAGTACGGTCATAAACGGCTTAAGCATAAACATCTAGATTTTTGCCCTTTATGCCAAGTTCACCCAGCATTAACATTAACCTGCTTTCTTTTGGTTTATTGAAGTGCGCATGTGGTGATACTACGTTTTTATTGCATTGCCAGGCTACTGGTTTGCATGTAAACCAGGACAACAGGTTATTTCAATAAGCTGTTTTTTGTGAGTTATCAGCGTATTGGTGTGCATGTAAATGTGCTCAATGTCAACATGCGATCAGTTTATGAGATTATCGAATTGAGAGATCATCAACTGATTCATAATAAGTGATTATCAACTGATACCAATCAATCAGAGCATCACTAACTGAAAAAAATAAAATAAAAAAAGATTACAATGGCAAACATTATATATATATATATATATATATATTTTTTTTTTTTTTTAAGTAAAATAAATGGGACACCCACCAATGGGCAGCATTGGCTGATTCTCACAGTAAACACGAGGACAATAGCCAAAATCTCCCTGCTGGTACTTCTCCAGCTGCAAGAGAAAACAAGCACAACTTCACACGTATGAAGCTGAAAACAATTGTCCTTCTTTAATAAAACTATTAAAAAGACTAGATGACTCAGGGATAACGTACCATCTGGGCAATGCCACGGTTAGTGAGGATATAGCGCGCATGGATCAGTCCATACAGCATCTCAGCAGCCTGCTCAATCAGGTCACTCTGGTTAGGGTTGTCCTCCAGCTCCTCATCTGATACAAACACACACAACAACACTATTACACAGCTAGGAAATCACAACGTTTAAAGTCAGCATGACACAGAAATGCGATAAATCTTTTCTTCCCTAACGTGATGCACATCTAAGTGAAATGGATTCTCAAATGAGAAAAACTGAGTGGGACCTGGTTTTGTCCATCAGGAATGGATTGGATGTGAGTGACAAGTTGCTGGATGGGAGGGACTCTTGTCCCATGCTTGTGCCAGTGCACACACCATCAGAGAAGAGTTATAATAACACACGGATAAGTAATTTATAATGCATTGTAACATTACATAAATAAAAGAACCGCCCATTTTGATTTCATAGTGACTTTAAACAGGGAAATGCATGTCTTCTCTAGTATGTTTTAAGGTGTTGCACTTAAAAGCAAATGCATTCATGCTTTATTTGCATCACATTTAAATCACTCAAAACAAACCTAGTTACAATATGCGTATTTCTGGGAAACATTTAGCATTAGGCAGACAATTATGGGCATACATGCATAAAATAAGCAATTGTCTAACTTTGGTTCAAGACATTAAACAGATGAGGAGAGTGAATTCATCTGCTCTCTGGGAGGGGGATTCATGGATTTGGTTTTAAAAGATCGTGCCTAAAATTACATTTTTAATGTGCCTGGTTGGTTGCGTGCACAGCCTAAAGCACATAACCTTCAAGTCACAATGAAACAGAAGTAGCAATAGATCTTTTCTTCAATGTTTTGACATCAGTGTAAATAAGAAAAATAATTAGGGCAGGACTTAAATGTATGCATCAGTGGTTGATCGGATGTTGAGATGTGGCCGTCGCATTCCATCGGGGAGACTGATGAACAGGGTTTAACGCCGGGTTCACACTGCACGATTTTCAAACTCGTCGGTTCGCCGTGGTTTTCACACTGCGTGACTATCTGAGGTAGCAGTCAGTTGCTGCTGTGTTCACATTGCACGATGGATCGGCGACAGGGGGTTTCACACTGCATGACTTTACAATAGGAAGAATCGCCGACAGCTCTGTCTGGTCCGCAAACTAGGTTTCACAACAAAACACACGCGAGAAGGGATAAGGAAATAACGCGAGAACCCGCGTGCGTCAGACCGGAGTTCTCGAGCAAGACTGGAATTATTAAAATAAATATATATATAGCCCGCAAATTGTCTGTGAGCTGATTTCCGGCTACAAGGAGAAAAAGAAAAACAGATTATGCAGGAGGGAGATGCAGGGAACAGGGATTAGGTGTTCTGCAAAGAGTGTTGGCGGCAAATAATTTTGCAGTAACTGTTATGTTGATGTTGTGGCTGGTCAAGCAAATGTTTGTGCTTGTTTCTGTATGATATAATTGTTCATATATCTATTAAAATACTGATATTCTGGTCTATAACTCCTCCCCGAACTTCCCTCTGCCCTGTATCTTGGTCTCTGATTGGCTGTAGGTCATCGCCGATGTAGTTTTCAGTCAGAGCTCATTGCACACAGCGTGATTGAGAATCGCCGACAGCT